TACATTATACGGTATGGACTATGTTTTTGGCTACTGTCTTTGCTGTGTCCCCTCCCAGCCTCTTGCCCACCCCCAGCCAACTCTGGGAGGAAACAAAAAAGGCCTGGATGCTGTGCAAACACTGTTCAGCGATAGCTAAAACATCAGTGTGTTATCAACACTTTTTTAGCCACAAATCTAAAACACAGCATCATGCAGGCTGCTATAAAGTTAACTCCATCCCAGCCAGACGCAGCACAGGGACTGATATACTGCATACCACACTTCAGCATGTTTTTTATAGTTTGTAGTGAAGCTTTTGTGTTCCCTGCAGAATAGTGTGTCAGGGATGTGCTATACTAACAATGTTCCTGCAGTTCTCTTGACAGTCATCTCTTATTTCTCTTACAAACAATCCACCATTTCTCAAGGAAATTCTATTACATATGAAGTTTGAGACTGTCATCCTGTTACTAGATTTACGCAAGTTCTGTCTGTAATTACTAAGCTTGCTATTATTTGTCCCCTGCAACATAGTAAAAAATGACAGAACATCTCCCTCATCTTCAGGGGGAAATTAAGATGGGCATTACTGGGGCTTGAGCAACTGTGCACACCAAAAAGGCCAGGTCTGTGCTGGTGAATTAAATGTACTTGGGACTGTTCTGTAGGGGTGAGCCCAGGGGTGACCGAATGCCCTAGATCTGCCCTCCTGAGCTCTCCAAATTAAGGACTTCTCATTCGGCTGGCCTACTGAGAACGGTCTTGGCCCATTCCACTGTGTCCACTAGCTCCGTTGTGCCCTGTAATTATTTCAATGTCACACAAGGCTTGCTGTTGTAACTCAGATGGGTATTTATTTCTCTTGTCCCTTGTGTACAACGTCTTGTATGGACCAGTGGAGGGAGAGGTTATTCTTTGGCGAGAAGCAAAAAAAAACCCAACAAACCCAAGAAAAAGGGATGATGTATTTGTCCATTATCAGAAGATGCTATACTTTTAATTAGAATTATAGAGAGGACTTGAGCTTGTATCAGCTAAAGTCAGTAGCACAGCTTCCATTAACTTCGGTTAGTTTGAAGTATTCCTAGAATGGAAGATAATTGCTAAAGACTTTGCTGTGAGGATTTATAGTTTGTTCCCACAGTTTTGAAGGCTGTTTTGCTGTTGGGTTGTTTTGGAGGAGTTAAGGAGGTGTTGGGAAAATTTGCAATCAGCAGTTGGAGGCGGAGGAGGGACTATTTTCCCATACTGTACACAAATAGTTATTGTCTACTATTTTTTCTTTCACATTTTAGTATTTGACATATTTACTGGAGTCTGGTTCTTCTCACATGTGCTTCCTTTTTCTATTTGCCTGCCTTCCTTCCTACTACTACTACACATGCACACAGAGAACTGGGTTTCAACTAGGTAAAAAAGGGGGAGAATATTAGGTCTTTGTAAAAAGCTAAGTATGTTTGAGGCAAAGGTATTTCCGTATTCATAAAACACTGAATTTTGCATTTTGAGAGTCCTTTGGATTCCCGTGTGTGTAAAGGTTGTGCTTCACTGAAACAAGTTCATCCTGGCATTGCATTCAGGTGCCCTCAGCTGTGTGCAAGCCCACACAATCTGTGTTTAACAAAAAATGTGTGCTCCACATGCCCTATGTACTGTGGACCATGGAAAGCTTCTTAACATTATAACAGACATAAGCTTATGGTAAAAGTTAAACTCCAGAACCTGCTGATGTTAGAGGAAGAAAATTCATAATATAGAGGACTTTGCCAGTGTTTTAGGTTCTTGCAGTCATATCTGCAAGTCTGTGATTAAAACCCCACAATACTTTTAGAAAGTGGGTCATGTTCCAGACTACACAAGACAGCAAAAAAAAAATAATCCCAACTTTTCCTGTGTTTTTAAGTAGAAAATTTGTTCTGAGCAAGGAATAAATGGATGTGATTCTCACTTTAGATTCGGGCCACTGTGTGATTTTCCCTGTGTTTGAAGAAGTTTAGTTTGACTTTTTTGTTTCCTTTCCTTCAGAAGAGGCATCTTTCTAGCTCCAAATTACAAACCTTTGTGAATTACTATCGTAATCAATATCTTCTTCTGTAGAGTCCTGTGGTTAAAGCTGAAATTGTTGTGTCTTATGTCTCAGAATGCACCATTGGATGTCAAATCACTAGGTTACCCTTAGTCTTACCTGACACGCTCAGGTACGTCCAGACTGATGAAGAGAGTTCAAAATGTACATCACTGTACATCTGGCAATCCTGTAGGCAAGTGACAAATTCACGGTCATCTCGTTTTCTGTGCTCAGCCTCGCACGTCTTTCCACTTGTTTTTCAGGATTCTCCATGTAAGTGAAGTCACTTTTCTACAGAAGTTATTTGACAAATAGATCTCTGACTGAGGCAAAATGTGAATCATGATAAAATTAAATTATCTGTTCCAGGGATTTATCAGCAAAAACACCTACTCCCAAAGTAATATCACAATACCATCCACTGTGTGTGCAAATAATAGTAAATTAAAAAAGCAACATTATTGACTACAAATTTGTTTATTTAGGATTAATGCTGCAACCTCGGAAGCCCAATGAGCCAGAGTCTCGCTTTGCTTTGAACCTTTACATCTTGTTGAAAGGCTAAAGTTTTATAAAGGAGCACTGGAAGCTTTTATTAGTAACTTTCACTAAAGTTAAGAGGGAAAAAGTTCAATTCATTTTACTCATTGGTTCTATTAAAAAGGAAAGTGTTACTAAGTGTTACAAGCTTTATCCTCCCCTTTACCAGTAAAGCAGTTTTCCAAAAGCAGTCAATGAGATACTAATGGAGAAGAGAAAAACCTGTGTAATTTAACAATAAAGCATATGATGAAAAAAATAAAAAAAACTTTCCAGACCTGATGTTAAGCAGTTAAGGGTAGCTTCTCCCAGGAGCAGATGGTGTTAAGCCAGCCAACTGGCAAAAGGGAGTAACTGGGAGCCCTGGGAAGATGGTGTGGGAGAATCCGGTCAGGAAGAGAGCGGAGTCTGGGGAGAGGGGAGGGTATCATTCTCGTTTTCATCTCACAGGTCAGAGCACATTTGAAAAATTTGGGTCCAAAGGATGGCAGATTGTTTAAGAAAGCGTGGGTGAACGCTGCCGAAATGGCCGTATGTACAACAGTGCAGCTCAGCGGCCAATCTAATAATGTCAAGAGAAATCTCAACGAAAGCGTTTGGGAAGCATGTGTAAAAGCAGGGCTGTATTCCACTCCGCTTCTCCTGCAGCCTGGTTGTACCTGGTTTGGATGTGTTTCACGTGGACACTTCCTTAAGAAGTTCTGGGTTTTGTAACTTGGTACATTGCTCAACTAAATAGAACAGTTTTTACTCCTGTTACAGGGCCAACCACAATGAAAAAGCAAATATGCAAAAATGTTATTGAATGTGTTTCCATGAAATGTGTGGTGAAATTAATAAGCAGTCAAGTATTTCATAGTCCATATTGTATCTATGAGGCAACACTTCTTTATGTAAGACATACCAGCCAAACAGGAGAAAGATTTAAATCGCAATCTCCTCATCTCCTTTTTGAGGTTTTTGGGAAGTGTTAGAAGTGGTACATCGCAGCAGGAGGCCTAAAGACCCTGTGCCAGGTTGTGCCCCCATCCTGGTCCCTCCGTACTCTATGTGTATGTGCAGTAGCTACCAGGCAGGTTATACCCATCTCCTGGGCACCTCCTTTGGAAACGTTGCCAGATCTTTAGGCTGCAGCAGCCAGGGCCAAGCTATGTGTGAAGCAGAGAGCTGACCCTCTCAGGTCTCCGTTGCAGAGAACACAGCTCCACAAAATGGAGAAAGGCCTCACGGCCTTTGCATTTTTTTTACCCCCTTCTGCAGACCGCTATCGGTCTTTTCATTACGGTATGATATTGTTTCTAATTTGGCTTGCTGGCAATACCTTGCTCTGATCTGGCATGTCAGCCAAAGATATTTGTTATGGTCTCTGTTGTTAAATATTGAAATTAGATGGAGGTTTTCCCTGCTGTTGGTGCCTGGCCAGTGTGTCTTTTAGCCTGCAGCTTGACCAGATTGTTCTTCAAAGTGACAGACACGGTGGGCTGACTATTCCTTGCCTTCCCTTACAGAAGTCTTTTAACACTGTAACTCCTGCCATTCCCCTTCTTTCTCTTCACCCCTCTCTACTCTCCCTACAAAGGAGAGAGCCTGGAAAATTATGAAACAGAGCCAGCTCATGTCCTCTTTGTGCTCTGACTCCCCTGCTAGCAAAGATCCGCACAGGTCATATTCCGTACAAACGTCTCTGTTATTCTCTTCCCTTAGGGGCTCAGGATCTGGATCGCATTCGTTTGTCCACCTACCGAACAGCATGCAAGCTTAGATTTGTTCAGAAGAAATGCAACTGTAAGTATGTCAGCACTTTCACATATCGTTGTTATTGGCTTTCCACTGCACTCCCCAGTCTGTCCTTCACATCAGTCACAAACCGGGACTGTTTGATCAGCATTGTGAAGGACACTAATCAGAGTACCTGGGCAGATTTTAAATATTAAGCTGCTTATATAAGGAACTTGTCTCAAACATGCCAGTGATTCAGTCATAGAAGGGTGGGCCATGATGCAGGCCACAGCTTTAATTAGTAAGTACGTTAACTACATTCTCCAATTTTCTTGTGAAATAACATTTGTGGCTTCCAGGAAGATCCTACAATTTAAATGCTTTTATAGCAGCTCCATGGAGGAGAAATGGTGGTTCCAGTCCTCATCTATTTGGGGTGCAGCAAAGGAAGTGCAATGTCAGTCAGCCCCCTTTTTTCTCAGAATAGACATCTCTTCTGAGAGAGTGAACCTGCTTGTAATCTCTGGGTATCTGTCTTCCTCCATCTAGGCTTCATTCTCAAGAAGTTTCCCACTCGATTAGTGACTTTTTTAATGTTTCTTCTGAGATTCAGTCTTTCTTCCTTTACAGCTGCAGTTTCTCTTAGCACAGTGATGTGCTGTGAACTTTAAAGGGGAAATACATATAAAATCTGTAATGAAGGGTATCCTTTTTTCTCCATCCAAAATAGTATGCAAATACTTAGAATGGCAGGGTTTGGTTTATGCATGTTACCGGACTTTTCCACACCAAGGCAAAAAAAAAAAAAAAAATCCTAACCAGGAGAACTCTTGTCTGCAGTAGCAGCAGGGAGAGGACTAATGCAAAGAAATTTTTTTTTTTTTTATTCTTCATATCTAAACTAGAATGACAGCCTGGCCACGCTTGTGCTACGCACAGTGTAAGTATGTTAAGCAGTGCTCACTTCAGATAGAGATTAACCGCCCTGGAGAGAGTTCCTAGTTTGGGGGTTACATCTATCTGTGTTATGGAAATGTTTAGCTTATGCTGTCCAAACATACTGGAGAGGCCAAGTTGTGGAGGAAGAGACTTTGGAGAGTATTTATTGGGTTATTAGCTATGGAGCTGGTCATTCAATCACCTCTGCAGCACATTTATCATGTTTTTAATATGTTTAGCTGAAGTATGAATTGAAGGATTAGTATCACATTATAAGCAAGCTGCCAGACACAAAACCCAGGAGGGATCTAGTACCTGCCCAGCACCTAGCTTCTCCCATTCAGGAGGAAATGCATTGAAAGACACTATTATGTTGCATTCGGTTGTTTATTTTATTTTTTTAAATTTTATGCTTAAGAGGACAAAATTTTCACTTCATTTTCACGGTAACAGAATACAGTAGTCTGAGGTGACCAAAATATCCAATTAAGTTGACAGTAATAGCAAAGTCATAACCCTCATTGCTTTGATAACTGTATACATAGCAAATGAAAAACCCTAATGGTGCAATAGCATTGTTGGGAGTGGCTGGCTGCCTAAAAATATTGGCTGTTAATCTTAACTTTGTTCCTCTTATTTACCAACTGCGATCTGCTTTTGTGGAACTATTGCTTCTCTTCATAGAGGTCTAATGCACGTGCCCTTCAATTTGCCATCTTGTGCCAAGTCGCTTATGGACAGTGCTTGCCTTCTGATTGCTGTTGATAACCTAGGAGAAGTGATTTGCTGATCTTATATCAAGACTTATGCTGTATCAACCTCTTCTGAAGAAAAAAAAAAAAGGAGGGACTTAAACAAAAATATTGTCCTAAGAATTAGGTTCTGTGTGACTTAAGGAATGCCTGTTGCTCTGGAAAGGGCTGAATTGCGTGTGTCTTTTCACCATCAAGTACAGTTTCCTTCTGGTTGTTTCTGTTAAATTGCTGCTCTCCCGGATGACTTTCTTTTAATAGTGGGAAGTCCTTCATTCACCAGATGTGATTTCAAGCAATGGCTGTCCAAGGCAGAGCTTCTAAACAGAGTCACTGAACCGAGCACTGCCCCAAAATGGTTAATATCAGACCTGCTGCTCATGTCAGCTACTCTTTTTTTTTTCCTACAGAAATTGCCATTATGCACCACCCAATAGTAAGTTCAGGAGGGGGAAAAAAAAAAAACAGAGATATGGGAAAAAAAACCTTTCTGTTGCATCTGAGCTGTTTCATTTAGGGAAGAATTTAAAAAGAAAAAGCTCAAAGGCAGTTCTGCTCCACTCCCAGTGCATAGCACCTCCTGTCACTCAAGCCATCCTTGTCTTCTTTCAGCTGTGCTCTCCTGCCCTGCCCTGGCACACCAGCACAGACTTAGTAGGAAAAAATTGCTAGGAAAGAGT